GAGAAGTGGTCATTCCCTAAGGGCTCTGAATACTGTCAGTAAAGCTACTCATCAGAAGAAATTTACAAGCATCAACCCACAAGTTAAATTTTTAAAAAAGAAAATGAGATAACACTTAAATAAGATACCCCCCAGGCTTTCAGCTCACCAAAGGCAAGTCCAGTGGGCAATGAGGTACAACAATCCAAAAGCCAGACACCTGGACTCTATGAAATGGTAACAGTGAAAGTTGCAAAGCAAATGAATGAAGCTCTAGAAAAAATCAGGGCAGAAATAATTTATCAGATAACTACAGAGATGGTGACCAGAACGAAAGGCATGCTTAGTGACTCTAGAACAGAGGCAGATAAAAAATAGAAGAGCTCAGAAAAATGATGAAAACCATTGAACACTCAGCGTAGGAAAGAAATGGAATCCACGAAGCAGATTCAAACAGATATCCAAGAGATTAAAAACTCCAATGAGAGCTGGGATGTAGCTCAGGGGCATAGCACCTGCCTGGGGTGCACAAAGCCCTGAGTTCAATTGTCCAGTCCCCGCCCCAAAATACACCAGGGAAAGTATACACAACAGAATGAGCCGATATGAGGACACAGTATCAGATACAGAGGACAGGATTTCAATTAATGATCATGAATACAGAGATTTCTTAAGAATAGCAAGGGACCATAAGAAATCAACCCAGCAGCTGTTAGACGATGAAAAAAAGAATAACCTAAGATTGATCAGCATCAATGAAAAGGCAGGCGCGGAGGGATCGGGGGCGAGCAGAGTGCAGTGCTGAAGCCCCTCAGTAAAAACAATGTCCACCTGGGGAGACCCACAAATTCTGTGGGGTCCACAGCCCACCTGGAGGAAGGCAGCCTCTGAGCCCGCCCGCACGCTGCCCCAGGGAACTTTCATGGGAGGCCGAACCCGCGAGAAGTGGCCCAAGATGAGCCTCCCACAACAGCGCATGGCCGCGATAGGGTCCAAGGAGCTGGGCGACCTGCTGGACCTCAGCGCGACGTTTCCCCACCTGTTAAATGTGGGAAAACCAGACCACCGACACGGGGAAGCAGCAAGTTCAGTGGGTCAGTGGAGAAACACTGCTGTCAGGACTGTAACCACACGATTGGCACTATTATATCAACAGGTAAAGAGCAGGTGACAAGTGATTCCTGACATAAAACACTGAGGAGACTCCCTCATTTCTGTTATTGCTGCCAAGGAATTGAGAAGACGATGAAACACTTTCCACCCTTCTTTAGGAAGCCAGAATTAACCCGATTATGTAAACCAGACAAACTGTAAACAATAAAGGAAGGACAAAGGAAAAGAAAACTATGGACCAATTTACCTCATGAACATATTGCAGAAACCCTCAAAACAAATGAGCAAACTAAATTCCACTGTTCATTAAAGGAAACACATAGGGCCGGGGATTTAGCTCAGCGGTTCTGTCGCCTGCGCAAGGACCCAAGTTCGGTCCCCGGTACCAAAAAAAAGGAAACACCTAAAACAAACTACAGCTAACTTCATACTTAATGGTGAAGAAATGAAAGTTTTCTTCCAGGAACAAGAACAAACCAAGAATGTCTACTCTAAACCTCTCTCCAGTTCAGTATTTTACTGGAAATCCTGGTCAGCATTAACATAGCAACAAAAGGAAATAAAAGAGGAGGCGATTAAAAAGAAGAAATAAAACTGTTTCCATTGACAGACAACATAATTGTCCCAAAGAATCTTCAAAAACCTAGAGTTTAGCAAGGTCACAGAAGACACACACACACACACACACACACACACACACACACACACACCAGTCTTAATTCTCTATACATTTGGCCCTCTATTTCTTCAGGTTCATCATCTGCAGTTTCAACCAACCATGGATTAAAGATATGTGAAAAAAATTGTGGCTGAACTAAGTCCTCTGTTGTCATGTGCTCTAAAGAATATAATATAACAATTATTTATACAGCATTTACATTGTCTTAGGTACACTGTGAAGGGATACAGACATCGTCTTCCCTGCCTTCCCCCTTTTAGACTCCTTGCTGTATTTGGGGGCATAGGACTGAGTACTAAACCAACAAAACATGGTCGCCAGTCAAGCATGTTATCTCTCGAGAATCATACATAGATGTATTCTTGTCCAGAAAATAAAATAAAATGATTTGAAAGAAAAAAAAAAAACCTGTTCATAGAATGGCAGAAAACTTCCCAAACAGGGAAAAAGAATTTGGCATACAGATAAGTGAGGCATATAGAACTCCAATTAGACACGATTAAAAAAGTCTTCCCCAAGCCAAGTAATAATCAAGATTCCAGAAATTCAACACAAGAATAGAATATTAAAAGCTGTTAGAGAAAACAAATCACCTATAAAAGTCCATCAGATCCACAGCAGACTTCTCAACACAAGAAAATATAAAAATTCCAAATAACCCAATATCAATGAAATTTAAAATATAACTAAAAACATACCAACAAAGAAAAGCCCAGGTCTTAATGCTTTCACTGATGGATTCTACAAGAAATTTAGATCTAATGCCACTACTCGACAAACTCTTCAATGAAATTGAAAGTGAAGTAATACACCCAAAATTATTTCTAAAAGCAAGTATTACCTATACAAAAACCAGAGAAAGACCCAATAAAAAGGAGTACAGGCCAGTCAGCTCTGTAATGAACATCTTTCATACCTTTTATAATCTGTAACTTTTTTTTTTTGGTACCAGGGATCGAACTCGGAATCTTGCACTTGCAAGGTAGGTGGTGGCACCACTGAGCTAAGTCCCCGGCCTTATAATCTGTAACTTTAACTGCATATTCTATTCGATTTCATTGTTTTGGCTTTGACATGTGATCTCACAATACTGCCCAGAGTAGTCTTGATCTTCCAGGCTCCAGTGACCCCTCCCTTAAGCCTCTAGAGTAGCAGAGACCACAGGTGCACAACACCATGTTCTGCTATAAAACCTAGTTCACTGAATCACTTTTCATCTTGGAAATTTTTTAAAAGGTACCGGGTGTGGCGGCACATGCCAAATAATACCAAGCACTCGGGAGGTGTAGGCAGGAGGATCGCTGCAAGTTTGAGGCCAGCCTGGGCAACCCAGTGAGTTCAAGGCCAGCCAGCCTGCACTAAAAAGTGAGATGCTGTCTCAAAAAAGCAAAAAAAAAAAAATTTTTAATTTAGCTGGTCGTGGTGGTGCATGCCTGTAATCCCAGTACTCAGAAAGCTGAAGCAGGAGGATCGCAGTGAGTTCGAGACCAGCCTGGGCTACATAGTGAGTTCCAGGTCAGTCTCAACTACATAGTGAGACCCCGTCTCAAAAAAATATATATTTAAAAGGAGAGCAGTTCTAATAACTTTTTCTTTGGACCCTCTCTATAATGGAACTAAATTGATATTGTTATAACAAAAGTTGTGCTCAAGTCACAGTCTGATGAAAGTTTTACTCATTTGTCATGAAACTTGCAGATGAAAGTATATGAGTGGTGTTCAGCCTCAACAGAGGTTAGGTCCAAAGGCCTAAGGCCACACAGACATTTTTCATTGCTGTTGACTATTTTTGGCTTTTACAGTAAATATCACTGAGTCCACACAAATGAAATGAGTACTGGTAGAATGTAAAATTCTGTAACAATGGAGCTTAAAATCTAAATGGGCAGCCAACAGAAGAGTACATAAGTGATTTCATCTCCAATGAAGGCTTCCAGGATAAACACCACGGGAGCTAAATCTGAACTTGCTACCTGATAAGGCATGGATCTTAAGAGAGATCACCCCTTCTTCCTTCTCCAGACACTGGTTCATTCTCTGCCCTGAAGGCTCGCTGTGTTAAGTCTCAGGGATACTAAGATAAAGCATATTCACATGCATCATATTCAGATGCATCCTATAAGAGTTTATAATCTTAAAAGGAAAAACAAAGCTGGGAGTGACGCTGAGTGCCTATAATCCCAGCACTTGGGAAACTGAGGCAGGAGGATCGCCACAAATTCAAGCCCAGCCTGGGTCACATAGTGAGTTCAAGGACAGCCTGAACTACATAGCAAGCCCTTGTCTTGAAATTTAAAAGAGAGACAGAGACAGAGAGAAGTTTATAGTTCCAAAACCCTAAATCTAGGTTTTACAGCCAATTTATAATTCTCTAATAAAGAATGGTTACATAATACATGCTATCAGTCTGCATTTCTGTTTATGCCACATCCAAGAGTTTACACAAAGATAAAGGAATGCACCACCCAGAGCTCAGAAAACGACTGAGCAGGCCAAAAACACAGCCAGACTCCAGTCTGGATCCTGCCCCCAGACCTCCAATGGACATGCGATTCTCTCCCGATCCAACCACCAGAAAGGGGGCTGAGGAAAACCCACTTAAACACAATGATAAGGGATGTGCATTCACGAAGAATTCTTTCTAATATTATTTATTTTATTTATTTAGGGCAGCGCTGGAGATCGACTTAATTTTTTTAAAACATTTCTCACTGTGAGCTTCACATGAGTTCTTGGTAAGATCTTGGAAAGGGGCTGGGATGAGTAGAGAACCAAGCAGAAAGCTCTGAGTTCAGTGAACAGCAACAAAATAAAATAAAATTGGGGGGACTGAAAATACTTTTTCCTATGGAGCACAAATGTCCTCTTCACAGGAAAGTTTCTTAGGTATATTAATTGGCTGCAATTTTTCACGGACCAACTGACCAAGTTTTCAAAAAAGCGATCTGTGCCAACCGTGCACGCCTGTTAATGAGCTCACTGCCTGTGTGCTTGCGTGTACGAATCTGCAAGTGCAAACGCTCCCCAGCCGTCGCGGTTAGAATTGGGATTAGGATTAGGGTTAAAGTTAGGGTTAGGGTTAGAGTTAGGGAGGCGGTGCCGGCTGATCATTGGATGTGAATAAAAAAGCGGGATCCATCTTGGTGACGGGCTCTGTGTCACAGAAGGGCGGGTCCCGAGCCCGGGATGTGGACACCTGGGCTCGGGGACCTCGGGCCGGGGAGCTCACCTTGACGTGCTCGTAGTAGCTCCCGGCGCGCAGTAGCGACACCCCGCGGAACGTGCCGGT